ATGCTGACTAAACCCCTTTCTGAGTCTCCTACACTACCAGAAAGCCATCTCCTGCTAGGGGTCAGAGCCTCTTCCAAACGGCACCAACCAACCGCGTGTGCTTGATGTTCCTGACCCCCAAGCATTGAGCTGGGGTGCTGGTATCTGAGCAGTGACAAGGAAGCCAACGAGGAAGAGGGAGTGGCTTCTTCAAAAAAAAAAACTGAAAAAACAAAAAGACCCAGAGCTCACGTGCATACAAACATGGGAAACTCCCTCAAATTGTCACCCAGAAAGCTGGTGCCACTTCCTTGCCCACCCTTTCCCCCACTGCAGGCTGCAGTCACACATTTATAACTTCTTTTCCCCTCCAGGGCTACCCTAAACAGCACTAATAAGTTTCATTTATTTAGGTTAAGTTTTACAGAGTTTTCTTTCTCCCCAACGCTTTAAGTCAGATAGGACGGATACTATCACCTCCATTTTACAGATGAGGAAAGTAAGGCTCAGAGAGGCAGCGTAGTAAAGTGCAAAGGATCCTAGATTCGCAGTCATAGTTCTTATCTTGTGTCAGCCGCTATCTACCTTGTGACCTTGGGGAAGTCATTTCTGGTCTCTGGGTCTCAGTTTATTCATCTGTAAAATGGGAGTACTTGTAGGGTCTACCTCACAGGGTTGTTATGAGGATTCAATTCTATCATGAATATGTGGGGCTTCAAGAGCTACAGAAGCTCAGAAGCTACTTTTGTATTGCCAATGCTTTACATACAGTAAATGCTTCATAGATGTTTTCTCGTTCATTCATCTATATTTGCTACTTTGTATTATTATTATCATCATTAGCTGTGTGACCTTGGAAAGAGTTTTGGATTGGAATGGACTAGATTGAACTGGGCTGGGTTGGGCTAGACTAGGGCTGAACTGGATTAGGAAACGTAAATTCAGAGAGGTCACAAGGTTTCCTCAGGGTCCCACAGCTGTTCAGAGTAAGAGCCAGTTTTCTGATTCAGGCTTTCTGGCTCTTCGCTTAATGACTTTCCCATATGACACAGGGCTGCTGCAGTCATGTACATCCCTCCCACCTCTGACCTCCTCCTTGGTCAGTGCTCTTCCCCAAGCCAGTAAGTGGTGGGACTTTTTTCCCCTCTGAACCTCTTCCGCTTTGGAGACTAACTGTTCCTCCGAAGGCTTGATCAGAGCAGATGAAATAGAAAGAGCCACGTGACTGGCTGGAAATAAACGTGCTGGGGCACTGTTTACACCCTTTTATAAGCCTTGTAAACACTGGATTTGGATTGGGCCCACATGCACATACCATAGAGGGAAACCCCCAGAATTGCTAACTGTCATTCAGTTCCTTATCTAAATCTCCAAATGTTCATCATACATTTTTTTAACCCCAGATTCTATGTCAGAGCTAAGAGAAGCCACTGACATCATATGATCCAACCTCGCCATTTTACAGAGGAGGAGACTACAATCCAGACAAGTTCAGTGACTGGCTCAGGGTAACGCAGTTAGGGGGTGCTGGGGCCCTGTGGCCAACACAGCAGCCTCCACACACAGACTTCTTTTCTCTTCTTCATGCTTTAATCTGCTCTTTGTACCATCAATGTGCAAACCCTAAGCCCCCTAAACGGACTTCCTTATTGCCCCAAAGGTCTCCAAACATAGTGCCATGAGACGCCTCATTCTGGAACAGCCAGAGCGGGAGACCTCACATCTCCATCCTTGCTTGACATCAATCCTTTTCACACACTGGCTTTCTTGCCTTTCCTCATACATGACGTTCCATCTCCCATCTCCAAGTGTTTGCATAGCCTGGAATGCACTCCCTCCTCATGGCTGCTTCTTAGAATCCCTCATTTCTCTCAAATATCTGTTCAAATGTCACCTTCAACAGGAAACTGTTCCTGATCCTCCTTGTCTTTCCACAAATTACCCTGTCTATACTCCGTGTATATTTATGTGTGCATGTGCTACC